CGGTACAATTCTTGAAAATATTATGCTAAGTGAAAGAGCCCAGTCACAGAAGATCACATAGTGTATGATTCCATTTATATGAAATGTCCAGAGTAGGCAAAATTTATACTTTTTATACATAATTGTAACTTTTTATAACATAAATGACATCTTTTTAATAGAGGATTTTAATCTGCCTCTTAATTTGTATATCATTAATTTATGGGAATAAAACATGATGAATAAAACATCCATGGGAATAAAACATGATGGAATAAATGGCTTTTCAATACATATATGTATAGTTTTGGAATAACATGTTTTTAAGTTGCCTGGCAATGCATATGGGGTCTTCTGTGGGCTAGATAATTAGAAAACCTGCCAAATTACATGAATTGGGTGAAACAATTTCCCAGACCCATCCTCATCCTTTCTAGTTGTCACAAAACATTGTATGGTTTGAGGATTCTGAGATTATGTTCTGTGAATTTTCCTGAGTATGTTTTTTATTTATTTAAAAATGTCTTAAATATTTTAAGAGGTGTCATAACTGGGAAACTCAGCTGACATTGCAGAGAGCCCCACTGAGGAAAATACAGAGGATGTTGGCTGCACTCGGAAGGGCAAACACATCAGTACCACTGGCTAGTGTTGCCAACTCAAATGGAATGGCTAAGTTTGCGGCATCACCCATATGACCAGAATTCCTGTAATGGAGAAGATAGAGAATAAAACAGCTAGCGATTATGGCCAGTACCATTTGTGCTTTCCTGGACATAGTCGATAGATCTTTTACCCACAAACTCTTTATGGCACATTTTAAAATGTCAAAAAAGATGTACCCACCTTTTCCAACATACTGAAACATATATCTTTGTTTATTTATTAAGAGAAAATTGTGACTTAAGTCATTTTGATGTTCTCACTACTTTGTATGAATCGAGGTGAGGGATGAATTGAGAGGTGGGTGTTTTATTATTGCTGATTAATGCTGGATCTTCTAATGCTGGGCCTCATAGCAGGTGGCTATGGCAAAAACTTCTGGTGGATTGCTAGGTGCAAAGCCTAATTTTTCCCTTTTCCAATAAACAAAACTCTGTGTGTTTGTGTATGTGTATGCATGTGTGTATTTGGCAGCTGGCCACATTAAAGTTAGCCTTCCTTATGGCTCAGTGAATATATGTAGTTGAGTTGGGACAATAATAGAATGAGCATTAAGCTTTGAATGGGACTTTCAGAACATCTTTAGGAGTTTCCTCAGCTGAGAGTTGTGTCCTCTTCGTCTTTCTTCTCCTCTTCCTTTCTGCTACCCAGATGGTGTAAGTGAACTCTATTGTTCTAGCAATTGCCTTTGTCTATGAGATGACCTTGAGGATGGAAGCCATGTGTTCAGATAGTAGAACATAGAGATTGAAGATGCTTGGTTTCCTCTTGACCACGGGAAAGCCATTAATAGTCTTGAATGGGATATCCCTGGACTTCTCTTAGCTGAAAGAGATAAACTTACTTTATTTAATCTTAATTTTTTGTTTTTCTTATTGCATGGCCTAATCCAAATGGATACAGTAGGACTTGCCTATGGTTGTGAAGCACTAAGCACAGGCAAACCAAATTTTGTATTCTGGGTAAAGAGAAATTGCAAAATATCCAGAGCATATATAAAACATGGATTGAGTAAACAATAAAAGGGGAATCTGAAGTCATGATGAGAATAATCGAGTCAGAACTTACAGATCTATAGGTGGAGCTATAGAAAGAGCTCCAAGAGTGCAAAAAGAGAGGAAATGTTTAATGACTCATCTGTAAATGAACTAGAGAAGCCAGGGAAAGCATAATCTGACCTTTTCCAAACCACTGAAGCAAAGCTTAGGAAAACTTTAGCATACCACGGTGTGTTCAAAATTTACATGTCATTCTCCACTGAATTATTCTGATTGCCCAATTCCTGGAGTGTACCACAGCTGTGTCAGGAATACAAAACCTCTTGTGTTAGACCTGACATTTCCCTCTAGGGTCACATGGCCAGGTCTGAAGGTGAAGGACAGGCTCCCAGTGGGTTGGAAAGAATAGTCCTTAAAGATAGGATACATGTGCATGAAGGATGATAGTTGGAAATGACCCACAGGGATGGAATGTGTCATCACCTTGAAGGGGCCTAACTAGTGTTCCTCCAGCTTTCAGCATAGTCAGGCAGTATTTAGAAAAGAGTCAGACATGACTCCTCCTCCTCCCTGAATGTCTTCTAGAATTGAGAGCCCACTGGACAATAGAAAGAAATCAGTTGTCTTGATTGAGATTCCAGAGTGTTGTGAGAGGTGCAGTACATTATTGATGAATAAACTGGCTAGGGTTGCTATAAGAAAGTGAGCCATTTGGGTGAGTTGCTCTACTTGAGTTCCATGATTTCTTATTGGGAACTCTTGAAGGTGTTCTAGAATTATATATATATTTTTTATTTTAGAAAGGAAAATATTGCATATAGCAGGGTATATGGCAATAAGCTATAATCTAATTTACTAATATTTATGTAGCAAAATGATGAATATTAGCACTTATAGGATCAAAACAACTATAAATTGCCTCTGTTCACTTTGCCACCAAGTGATTTATAAAGAAATCTTTCTGTTTTCAGAGTTTCTTGGATTTTGACATTATGGATAAGGGGCTGTGGACCATTACTACCAGGAGATAATGATGTCCATATAATGCTCTCATACACCTCAGAAGGTCTGAGATGAAGTCATGTTTGGCAATAGAGTCAGTCTACTGGAAAGCCTGTTTTTACCAGTAGTTACTTGCATTGGAAGGACTAACATCCCCTTATAGATATGAAGTTTATTAGACTATGCACCAATTCTTTCTACTACCTATCTAAACTTTTGTGCTTTTAATTTTTATTCACCCCTTTTTGGGTGAATAAAGACTGTGTCTTCAAGTAATTTTAGATTCCTGAGTGTTATATTTTATAAGACCTGGCATTTCTGAGACTTTCTGTTTTCTTCATGCATAAATGACAGCTTGACTGAGTCATATAAAATAGTTTTTCTCTTTTCAAATGCTGTAGAAAATTCTCCATTGCCTAACAGTGTGCATTTATTTATTTGTATATATTTTGTATATTTATTTGCAGTTAACTTATTTCTTTGCCTAAATGCTTTTTGGATTCTTTATTATATTAATAATTTTAAAAAAATTGCCGGGTGTGTCTTTGTTTACTTGGAGCATGATGAGATCTTTAGATATGTATACATTTTAGATAAATAGTTTTTGGTTGATTTATTGCATCTGTGCCAATTTTTTTGATTTTCTATTAGAATATATAGTCCTTAGTTTGGCATTTCATTCTCCATCCTCTATATCTATTAGGTTATGAAATGTTCTAGTTCCTTAAGTACTAAGTTTGACAGTTGACATTTCTGACATTTCACTTTGGCACTTCTTGTTTTATTTTTATTGTGAAAATACATCCTCATTCTTTCAAATGCACAGTTTGGCTTGCGATTATTTAAAAAAAAATTTTTTAGAGCAATTTTTGTGAAACCATGGATAAGTAAAAAATTCATGTTATTTTGAATATGAGTTCTGTCGTGGAACCAATGCTGTGCAGACAGCTTGAAATATCAACAAAGTGGGAAGGATGTGGCTGATGAACGCACAATACATTGATGGTTTGAGAAGTTCCATTCTGGTGATTTCAATCTTGAAAATGAGCCATGTGGGCGATCTGTGAGACCAAGGTGGATAACGATGAGCTGAAAGCTGTAGTGGAAGTGAATCCATCTCAACCTAGGTGTGAATTAGCAACAAGGTTTGATGTTGCTATTCCAACAATATTGGACTATTTGAAAAAAATTGGCAAGGTAAAGAAACTGGATGATGGGTATGACATGAATTAAGCAAGCATTAGAAGAGAAATCATCTGGAAGTTTGCCTTTCTTTGGTTGTATAACATAAATTTGAACCATTTCTGCACTGTATTGTTATGTGTGATGAAAAAGGGATTCTTTTGAGAATCACTAGCATTTGGCATAATGGTTGGATGGACATGATGTGCCCAAAACATAGTCCAGAACCTAATATTCATCCAAAAAAAGTACTGGTGTCTGTTTGGTAGTCCAGTGCTGGTATTATCTACGACAGCTTCATGAAACCTGATCAATCAATTATAGTCAATGTCTACTGTAACCAATTGGATGAAATGATAAGGATGCTTGTGATTAAGCAGCTGAGGTGAATCAATAGAGACAGGCCAACCCTCTTGCAAGACAAGGTTCGTACCACATGTTGTACAAATAATGCTGCTCAAACTACAGAGGCTGGACTTGGAAACTCTCTGTCATCCATTGTATTCACCAGACCTTGCATCAACTGATTATCACTTCTTCCAGTCTTTGGACCACTTCGTGCAAGGCAAAATATTCAATTCTCAACAAACTGTGGAAAATGCTTTTGATGATTTCATCACCACTCACTCTCCAGGCATCTTCACTGCTGGCATAAACAAGCTACTGTTAAGAAGGCAAAACTGTATCAATAGTTTAGGCATATACTTTGATTAATTGTTCTGCTTCTTGCTTGAGATATAATAAACTAAACTTTTGATTTAAAATCAGACATTTTGTATTTAATGACCTAATGTGTCTACATTGTTTCCAACTATTTATTTCTGTCATTTGTCTTGTGGAAGAACTTTTCAACTTTGTACTTCAAATCACTAATGCATTTTTCTCCAATGTAAATTCTATTCTAATGTACATTGAACCCTTATTGTTTCAGATGTCTATTTTCATTTCAGTTTTTTGTTTCTCATTTTTCCCTTTAATCTCATTTGTTTTTTACTTCATCTCAGCATATTCTTACCTGTGACTTTCAGGTCTTATATCCTATTGTCGAAAGTTAGTATTATTTTGGTTTCTGTAGTACACTTTTTTCAGAAGACTATCCTTCCCTTCCATCTTTAAGATAAAATTTTTTTTTGAAGTTAAAAAAAAATCTATGTCATGTTGTTGTTTTTCTTTTAGTTTCAATCATTGGATGTGTTCCTTGGATCCAGGTGTTGGTCAAAGCCTTTTCTCATATTTGTAGCAGGAAGGTAAGTTGATGTACACAGCTCAGTTCTCACTGTCTGTCAGGTGTTTATCTGGGGCAGCTCTGTTGTATGTAACTGTGTTTACCTCCTATCTCAATGTGTATTTTATGACACTTTGAGGCAACAAGGTATGCAAAGACTGCAGCCTTTCCCTTGCACTCCCTGCCTCATTTCACTTGCAAAAGTTTATTTGGAGAAACATATTATTTTAGAGCCAATGAGTCATTTTTAGTTCTGGATGTTTTCTGGGAGTTCAAACCCCCAGTGTGTAGGAATATAGTATATGAGGGTGGATGGAGATAGAGTGGGAGTTAAGAGTGTGTGGATGGTTCGGTAGCACTTTGATGCCTTAAATTCAGCACTTTTATCTAGGGATCAGCTGGCTGTTTTGCTCTTTGGTTAATGTGTAATGGTCTCTAAGTAAGGGGTAGACAATGGGGAGGGACAGTATTTCAATTTTCTTTTCAGTAAAAAGAGAGAAATGGTTCACGAAGTGAAAAATGTTATTTTCTGATTGTTTTATTTTCGTCTCAGTGTTTCTCAAACTTCTGTAATGTAAGAGCCTCATTTAATGGCCTGATTTCTCTCCTGGGTCCCTAGCATTGACTGAGGGGCCTTTATGACAATGTTTCTCCAAGTGTATAAGCCTAAAACTAGAGATAAACTTGTATCTCCAATGGTACTATAAAACCAACACAAGTTAGCAGATTAAGTGTACATTCTCCCCCAAAAATCAATAAATTAAAGTTAGCTTAATGTAATTTATGATATTCTTTTGTTGGAACTAAATCTTTGCTCCAAAAATGAATATGTATTGACTTCTAAGGTACAGATTCTATTGACACCAGTACATGTACATTTCCACTTACCATATGATGACAATAGACAACATTTTTGAAAAGTTTTATTATGGTAATCTATTCTTGGGTATTGGTTTGAAAAAAAATGTAACAGATTTCAGCCTATGAATGAACATTTTTCTTTACAAGTAGACTTTTCCTCTCTGTTTAAGAAAAAAGTATAAGGAAATGAAAGTCAATAATAATAATATATCAAATTTAGGTAGTGAATATTCTTTGGCTCAAAATAATGAATCAAATAATAATCTAAAAAGACTTGCTCACAGAAATAATCTGATTTATTGAACTTATTTTCTTCATCTAGATAAAGTAGTTGAGTCAGTAGAAGATAGTAGACACCTTATCCTCTGCGTGGGCCTTAAGAGTAGGGAGTCTTTGAGGTAGGGGGATCAGTGAGAAGCTAGTTGTGTTCTGATGGAGCAGGGTGTATTCATGCACGTGCATGAGTTGTGTGCCCTTTTGGCAGCATAGGGCTGCTGTTGTTGGCATTATATCTATCTGTTAGATGATATCCTACATCTCTACCTACTAATAGAAAAGATGGGGACCCAAGTAGCAAACCATGCTCCAGGATGGGAGACAGGTCTGGAGCCAGAAAGGTCTCCTATTCTGAGACCCAGAGTGGAGTTTGTAAGATGGGTCAAGTTGTGATATTTCTACTTCTTCTTGTTGTCCACATATCCAATATATGGAACCCCTCCCACTTTAAGTACCCAGTATGAGAATCCTTAATTAAGTTAAAACATGTCAATGGGCTATAAATAACAGAAATAGTTGCAGAAATACTACTGATTTTAGCCCACAGAAGTCACTCAGAAGTATATGGCACCAGGAGTGGAGTGGACTATTACAGAATTGTCATAGTCTAGGATGAAATGTCATTAGGGCTTCTCTTGATGGTATGATTATAATTGTAGCTGACTTCCAATAATTCAAGATTCCAGTTTGAGAAATACTGGAGTAGTTCAATCTGCTTTAGTACATATTCATTCTGGCTTTCAGCATTAGATTTATTTCATTCAATTAATATTTGTTTAGTCTCAAATATAGCTAGGCTAGGAATGGCTTCCAAATGTTGAGGATATAGCAGGGAACCAAACAAAGTATCCTCAGTGGAGATTATGATCTATATAATAAATAAGGAAAAAATTCATATAGTTTCAGACAGTAATAAGTGCTATGAAGAAAAATAATTATAGAATAAGAGATTGAGAATGATAGGGGTAGTGGTGGTTGTGGGTAAGGGAGGTCTTTTTGAAGAAATTGACTGCCAGCTTAGCTTTTGGGATAAGTATGAAAGTCTAGTTTTTTCAAGGTTTTTGGAAGTCACATGGAAAGAATGGAAAGGTTGTATAAGGACCTGTTAGGCCTTGAAGATGGAAAATACCTGCATTAATTTCATGGTCTATATTTCATTCTTTCTCTGTGTGTGCTCTTAAGATAATAGGTGAAAAATATGAACATTTATGATAACTTGATCACATGTTGTGGTAGTAACACAGTTATAGTATTTATTAATACAATATCATTGTATTATACTAATTATTGTAATTGTTGTAATGTATTGAACTCTTGAGATTCTGAATTTACTTGTGTCTTCTGTTGAGCCACACTTCTTTTCCTCTTCATTTTTCTTGTTTTCATTAAGAACATTAAGGAAGTTTGAGTGATTTCTTTTTCAAGTTAGATTATTTGTTCTCTTTTCTTCTTTGGTCTTCTCTCTGGACTACTGCAGAATGAATATGGAGTACTTAAATGTGCCTATAGTCCTAGCTACTCAGGAAGCTGAGGTGGGAGGATTGCTTGAGCCCAGGAGTTTGAAGTGGCACCTTTCAAACAGCTCACACCTTTCAAGTGCTCCCCTGAAAAGTGCCAGGTAAAAAGAAAGCTTTTCACAGGGTAGGACAGATGCTTTAGTCCTACAGGTAGGAGATGTTTTACTCCTGCTCCTTCCAAAAGGGAACTCAGAGTTACAAAGTTAGTTTCAATTTCAGAAAAAATGTCTGTGTGTGGCCCAAATATTTTATGAGCCTTTAGAATACTGCCACATAAAATAGATGCTTTGGCAAAATTGCATTTTATAATGATATAACTTAAGATATGGGATTTTTGAGATTCATGGTTTTGAATTTTTGTACTGCGCAGCACAAGTACATAGATCCAATAGTAGCAGGCAGTTCTCATTTCTCTTCAGAACTCCCCCTTTAAATCTCAGCACTGTCTTTTCAATTCTTCTGATTATCAGGTATCAATCTCTTCTATTACCTTGTAGTTTGGTCAGGACCAATCTCTCATGGTTATGAATTTTCTATTTTCTGGGATTTCTAGAAAATATTTCCCATAGATAGGCATAGTCTTTTATATCTTCCATATGCTCTCATAAGTACTTCATTTCCCCCTTGGAGAGAAGAGGCAGAAATTGGGAAGTATAGTGGAATGAGAAAACTTTCCTCTAGTCTTATATTCATTTATTTTCAAAAAAGCTTTACAGGTGTGTTGATTAAGGGCCAATATGATACTTGATCACAGAGATAAAATGCAAAGAAGTATTTCTAAAGTCTATTAATGGAAATGATGTATCTTTGTGTCAGATCCTTTCATAGTGTCATGGCGGGGCTGAGGGTAGAGCAGGTGACGAGGATAAGACAGTGAGAGTTGGAAATCTGAGTCCAACTTTAGAGTGTAAATATTTTGCTCAAAATTGAGTCTTAGGTTTCTGCTTCTGGTAATGATGGAGCAGCTAGTATCAGATTAATTCTGCAGTTAACAATTATAAACTGTGAACAGAATGTGAAAAACAACTATTTAAAGACATGGAGCAACTAAATACAAACAGAATCACAGGCAAAATCATAACTGAGGATTTTAGCAGTTTTCTTTTGGTAACTGGTAGACCAACTAGACAAAAAATAAGTAACAGTAGAGAAGATCTGAAAAACACTATTAGCCAACATGACCTAATTGGCATAGACATTGTACGCAGCAAGGGTGGAATATACATTCTTTTCAAATGCACATAGAACATTCACTAAAATAAACCATATGTTAGGCCATAAAATAAGTGTCAATAAACTTCAAAAGACTGAAATTTTACAAAGTGTATTCTCTGACTACATTGGATTAAATTTGAAATCAAAACAAGATATCTGAGAAATCCTCCATTATTTGAAAATCAAATAATACTCCTCTAAGTAACCTATAGATCAAAGAAGAAATCATAGAGAGAATTTAAAAATATTTTAAAATTAATTATTATAAAAATATATCAAAATTTATGACATGAAGCTAAAAAAGTGTTGAGAGGAAAATATATAGCTTTAAATGCTTATAATAGAAAAAGAAGAAAAGTTTAAAATCAATAATGCAAGTTATTATGAGGCTGGAAAAAGAAGTGAAACCCAAAGCAAGTTGAAAGAAAAAATAATAAAGATAAGAACAAAAAATTAATACAATTAATGAAGTCAAAAGTTGGTTCTTTGAGAAGATTAATAAAATAGATAAACCTCTAGAAAGAGCTGCCAAAAAAAAGTGAGAGAAAAATATAAATTAATATCAAGAATAACAGGGGTTATTTTTGCAGGTATTTCATGCATCAAAGGTATACTAAGAGAATATAATAAATAATTTGTTTTAGTGGAGTACAATCTCCTGTAGCTTTCTGAGAATGACACAAGGTAATTTTATTTTTTGAAAATTTACTTCCTTGAAAATGTCTTATTTGATAGTTCGTTTGGGTATAGATTCTAAATTGGACACAATTTCCCGTCATATTTGAAGGCGTCACCGGGCACAGTGGCTCATGCTGGTAATCCCAGCACTTTGGGAGGCTGAGTCGGGAGGATTGCTTGAGGCCAGGAGCTCGAGACCAGCCTGGACAACATAGCAAGACCCTGTCTCTACAAAAAATAAAAAAACTTAGCTGGGCACTGTGGCATGTACTTGTAGTCCCAGCTAATTAGGAAACTGATATGGGAGGATTGCTTGAGCCCAAGAATTTGGAGTTACAGCGAGTAATGATTGTGCTGCTGCACTCCAGCCTGAGTAACAGAGTGAGACCCTGTCACTTAAAAAAAAAAAAAAGAGCGTCACTGCATTGTCTTCTAGCTTCTACTATGTTGTTGAAAAGTCTGACACCATT